TTTAAAAAAAAAAAAAAAAGACAAAAGCAGAAAACACAAGGGAAGGGCAGCTCCTATCCCTAGCTGGAAAGCTAAGCTGGGGTGGCTCTGGGCTTTCAAAAAGCACCATTCAGCCTGGTTGTGCAAACTAGGCTGCAAAGCAGCAGCACTGACACTGGGGGGTGTTCTTGGGCACCCAAAAAGGAGCACAAGGTCTGTCCTCTTCAGCACGCTCGCACAGCACCTAGTGCTCCAGACAGCCTGCCCTGGCCGAGCAGCATGGGGGCCTGGGAAGACCCCCACAGGCAGGCCCGAGAGGAAAATGCTGACTGCTTCTGGGATATGGGAAAGGCAGTGGGTCTTGGGACTCTGACAAGTAAGTTTCCACGTCTCGCAGCTCAGTGGGTTCACGACAGACAGCTTGACCACTCGGGATAACCAAGCACAGGTCCCATGTGGAACGATTTGCTGGCCCGCTGGCCAGGAAGATGCGCTCGGAGCCGGCAGCCCCATCCAGTCCCTGTATTTGTCCACGCGTAGCAGCAATTTGTGCTCTACCTGGGCACCAGCTCGTACTCAAAACCTTGTGGGTCTGAGCTTCTGAGCTGTTGCCTGAGGTCAGTGCCTGCAGGGCTTTTCGTGACTGGCTTTTTAAGATAGGGCCTGGCACTACAGCTCAGATAACCCTGAGCTCGTGACTCCTGCTCAGTAGCAGCACTGGGGAGCCAGCCATCTCCCGACCTACCATACTGGGGACTGAACCCGGGGGCCTTCGCACTGAGGAAGGCTACCCCTAAGTCCCCAGGCTCTGAGCCTTCGTTCCTCCTGCCTCAGCCTCCCAGGTGCTGATTGCAGGTGTGCGCCATCCTGCCTGAGGCAGAAGCTGGAAGGTAGGGTGAGGACAGACTGACTGCAGGGTGCTTCCTCCAGCTGTGTGCTGCACAAAGCGAGGCGCAGGGAAGTCTGGCTCGGTGGGGTCCTACATCAGGGATGAGGCCAGCCTGGTGGCCGCAGAGCTTGGTGGAGGTGGGACTCCTGCAGCTCAGCTGTCGCTGCAGTGCCCAGCTGGCCCTGGCGGCCGTCTCAAGGCCATCTTGGGAGGGAGGCTGTCTCCGAAGCACTGCTTCCTCGCGCTGAGTGCCTTCAGCAGCAGCTCTGTGGGGAAGCCCAGGCGGGCCCTGGAGTCTGCTGCGGTCTCCACACAGCAAGGCGCACCGCGGAGGCCGAGGCCACGCATGCTCCCCAGCTCACCCAAGGGGGTCACCCTGCGTGTGCCAGAACTGCTTCCGGTCTGAGGAGGGTTAATGGCAGCAGCACTTGTGTGGGCCTAAGGGAGTCCTCAGAAGGCCTTCCGGCCAGAAACTGCTCTACCTGCCAAAGCATTGCTTACCAACTCGGGAGGCTGAGGCAGCAGAATCCCCGTGAGCCTGGGCTATACAGACAACATCCCAAAAAGAAGGGGGAAAAAAAAGAAAATCAGCATGCATTTACATTTTCCAAATTGTTTTTGGGCTTTTTTCCACCTTTTAACAATTTTAGTTCTAGGTCACACCTATAATCCTAGCTATTCCAGAGGCTGAGGCAGAGTGACTGTAAAGTCAAAGGCCAGCCTTGAAACTTACCAAGGCCTCATCTCAAAATTTAAAACAATACAAAGGCATTAGGGGTACAGATCATAAAGCACTTGCCAGGCACACACAAGCTCTCTTCAGTCGGGTTCAGTCCCAGTCCTACACACAGCCGGTCCAGACATGACCGACCCGGGCTAGGAAAGCGCTCTTGTTGGCCGTGACAAACCCTCACAAGCAGAGGCAGGATCAGGGGAGCGATTCTAAGCTTAAGCTGGAAACCAGAGTTCACTCTGACAAGGGGGCCTGCCCGCTGGCTCATGCAAATACAGCGAGGTGCAGGACACTGCCGTCCCATGCCCACCTCCACCTGCCTTACCAGACCTGCCCTTAAGGCAGCCTGAGCCAGCCAAAAAAAATTCTCACAGTTCACGCTTACAAATTCAGCTCCACCCAGGGCACCTCTAGCACCAGAGGCCGGGGCCCAGGCCTCACGGTACCTGGGAGTTCACAGTCAAAACAAAACCTGAGTCACAGAAGATGCCAAGCACACACCAAGCCCCCACCCAAAGGCAGCATGGAGCTGCAGCCCGCACCGGGGAGGCCCAAGCTTCAGCTCCACGATCGGGTCACAGCAGGCAGCTGGCTCAGGTGGCACCTCCATAAGAGATGCCCACGCTGGGCTGGAACTTGTGTTCCCGCTTCAGCCTCCCAGAGGGCTGGGACTCCAGGTGTACAGTGGTTTGGCTGAGGGAGACCACCTTGCCGAGAGGTTACTTCCAGTTCTAAACCGCGGGGCGGGTCCTGTGGCCCAGCTCTTGGAGACAGGCAGCACTCACGCTTTCAGCAGCGGCCCCAGTGTGAGCGTCCTGCAGCCACTAGGCAGGCAGAGCCGCCGGGCTGCAGGCGCAGCAGCAGCTGCACAGGCTCGGCCCGCAGCGCTCGGGGAGGCTGCACCCGGCCACGGCCACCTCTCCGCATGCCTGGCCAGCCCTGGCCCCAGCACTTCCTCGCTTGATCTGAATCCAAGTGGTGAAAAACTGCACTTGAGAATGAATCATCCATTTTATTTTATTTTATTTTGTCATGTGCTCACAGCATCTCTCTCTCCTCTCCCTGGCAGGTCAGAGATAAATTAAAAATAAAATCTACGAGGAAAATAATTTATAAAAAGCACTCCCAGGCTCTGCCCACATTCCTGCTGCTTGGCTGGGCCCCCCTCCTCGGGCGGAGGGTCATCACTCCCCAACCCTCCCGCCCCAGCAGGTGGCCCTAGTGGGGCAGCACTGGCAACCAGTCGCCAATCACCAATATGACTGACACCGCAACACTGTGCTCCTGGAGCCACCTAGCCAGGTAGAGCCAGAGCTGGGGGCCCCCACTACCCCCTCTAGAAAAAAACCCAGAAAGGCAGACAAGACCCCGGGCCGAGGAGAACCATCCCAAGCGTCCACAGTTACACGGAGTCTTTATGGCAAAGAGAACGTTTAGCAGCTTGAAGACTGAGGCATCTCCTCCTCACCCAACACGCGCACGCTGGACCCCAGAGGTGGCGGCACAGGCCCTCGAGACGCACTGAAACGCAGGGCGCTAGGACTACGCAACTGCCATGTTTTTAGGACCGCCTGCGGCCAGGGTGCCACGCCTGTGCGCGCTGAACCCCACTCCCGTGCCCTCCCGCCCTGACACTACAGCCAGGACCCCTCCAGGGCTCCGGGGCCAGGTGGGAAGGGAATGAACAGTGCAGCAATTCCATGCAGGCTGATGGGACACGGGCGCCCCACACGGGACAGCCAGGACACGGTGTAAGTGGCAGTGGCAGGCAGTGAAGGACATGCGTGGTGTTGGGGCTGCTGCAGTGCGGACCTCGGGACCTCTCTGTTCCCTCTGCCCGTGGGCCCAGTAAGCCAGCGTCACCCAGGCTCCCACTCAACCGCAACACAACAGGCACGCTTGCCTCGAGGGACAGCTAAGCGTAGGGACAGGGAAGGGAACCGAGCCCTCCACGCCCACCTGCGCCACAGACCCCAGGTGAGAAGCTCCACAAACCTCCTGCCTAGAACCCTGGCCAAGGCCTGACCTCCCCTTTCCCTTTGCCGACCGCTGCGATGTCCTGGTTTCCTTTCTTCCTTCCTCCAGAAACTACTTTCTCCCGCCTCCTGTCCTCTCCCTCCCTCTGCTCCTCCTGTCACCTCCCTCCACACACCTCCTCCTCCAACTCAGCAACACCAACCGCAGCCCTCCACCCACTTTACCCAGAGGGGTCAGCGAGGCCCTGCCTGGTGGTCCGGCCGCTTCCACGGCTGGAAGCCAGGCCGGGCAGTGCCCACGCAGCCGCCTCCGTCCACTGACCCGCAGTCCTCCGTCTGAGAAGATATATGGGTAAGAAGGCATTGAAGTCCCCGCCGGGGTCCAGGCCCGGGCCCGCCCCGCTCCAGTTTCAGCCTCGCTGAGCTCGCCGCGCCCACTCACTTCCTCCGGTCCTTGGGCTTCCTCTCCTGCCGCCTGGCCTGCTGGTCGGCCAGGGCGCGGGGGATGAGCAGGACGCTGCCGTCGCCCGCATACTGCAGGGCGTACTGGCTAGGCGAGTAGGGCCGCCCATTTTCATCACGAAGCCGGCCAAACACCTCCTGGTACAGGCTCTGCACCTTCTGCTTCATCTGCCGCAGCGAGCGCAGGAACTCCACCTTCTCGCGCAGCAGCCGCGCCTTGTCACGCTGCAGGTCCTCCACGTCACGCTCCAGGTTCAAGATGGTGTCCAGCTTGCGCTTTCGGCAGTTCTGCGCCGCCATCTTGTTCTTGCCACGGCGCCGGATGTCGCGGATGAGGCTCAGCTGCGCCTCGCTCAGCTGGTGCTTGGACAGCAGCTCGTTGAACTCCTCCACGGGCAGGTTGATGATCTTGTCATTTGTGAAGGGGATCTTCATGGCACGGGCGCGGTGCTCATCCCGGCTCATCTGCTTCTCCAGAAAGTCGGCCGCCTGCTTTTCCTTGCCGCCCTTCTTGAAGCCACCGCCTGGGGGCAGCTCAGTGGCATCGAGGGCGCTGGGCGCCATGTTGTACGTGTGGTTGTGGCCCACATGCTCCAGGTAGGGCAGGCAGGACAGCTGCGACGGGTCCTGGTAGCTCATACGGCAGAACTTGGAATACTCAGGCTGGTAGCCCACGGCACCCTCAGCCTCCTCCAGATCTAGGGTCTCAGAATCCGAGCTGTAGCCAACAGCACCTTCCTCAGAAAAGGAGGAAGAGGCAGAAGAGGACGCGGAAGAGGAGGAAGAGGCCGAGGATGTGGAGGCTGAGGAGGAGGAGGAAGAGCCCTCAGAGCCGCTCAGGGAGGATGGGCTATGGCTGGAGTCCAGGGAGAGGCCCGAGTCCGAGTCGAACTCCTCCTCTAGCTGCGAGGCCTGCACCGGGTTGAAGCCCTCCTCGATGGCCAGGTCCATCAGGCTAATCTCATCCAGCATGGCTTCATCCAGCAGGCCCCCGAGAGGGTCAGGCAGCTCGGGGCCCGCTGTGTCATTGGTGGTGCCGTTGAGCTGGGGTGGGAAGAAGAGCCCAGCCAGGCTGGCAGGGCTGAAGGTGGAGTTGAGGCTGGTGGAGTTGCTGGGGCCCAGCGGGAGCAGCGCAGGGCTGGCGGCGGCAGCAGGCAGGCTCTCTACCTCTGGGCTGAAGAGCGAGAACTCCTGGCCACAGCCCCCCAGGGACGCCTGGTGCAGGCTCACATTCTGGTTGATGGGTGTGCTCGGGGCCAGGCTGTAGTTGGTGCTCAGGGCGTCCCCAGGAGGGGTGCTGTAGAGGATCTCGCTCGCCGATGAGTTCACTTCCATGGCCTGGGAGGGCAGAGAGCGGTGGGGTCACTAGGAGCACACCCCTCCCAGGGCTCCTGTCCAGCCTGGGACGGGACATGGCTGCCTGGTGCAAAGCCAGACTGGGGACGAACCTCTCTGGGCTGTTAGGCTGGGCTGATCTGAGCTTGGCACAGAGTACAGACCCCAGCCCAGTGCAGACAGACTAGCTCCTAGAACCCGACCCCCATCCTGGAGGGAGGGCAAGAAAACCTGGGGGCAGCTCTCTACTGCCCACCCAGCACAGCAGCAAAAGCTCTAAAGGCTCCAGACAGGAAACCCTGCTGTTCCACGCAGGCCATCACCACCCTCTCGATTTCCTACTGTTTATAGGAGGCCAACCAGACGCTGTGAGGCTGAGAGAGATGCCTTGGCTAGAGTCCTCCAGGACCCACAGCTGTCCTAGCACACCTCAGGAAAAGAAAAGGGCAGCCCAGGGGCAGGGCCTGGTTCCCACAGAAACACACCTGGCCCCTCTCCATCTCCCACCCCCACCCAGAAGCGTGACCCTGACAACCCTACCTGCATTTCCATGATGGACATGAGATCCTGCCACTGCTGTTCCAAATCAAATGGCGACTCTGTCCCTGTGAGAAGCGGAGACAGCAGGCTGTTCTGGAGAACAGGGGACTCGTTCTCACTTGGCGCTGCTTCTGGGAGGCTGGTGACGTCCGGAAACTGGGGTGGAACACAGGGGTCACCAAGGCAGGAGGACCACCGTACCCTCTGGCGCAGCAGCTCCACCCCTGGCCTCCTGTTCCCTCCTCCCACAGTTCACCCAGCAGGACAGGGCACTGAGTCCACCCCAGCTTGCCCTCAGGCTCTCCTGGTCCTGCTGCTTCAGCTGCTCCCCAGAGGGTCAGGCAGCCTGAAGCTCTCTTTGGGCTGTCAGGTCCTCCCCACCATGCACCTGTGGCAATAGCCAACTGCCAAGTCTAGCTGGCCTGGACCTGGACCTGGACTGCTTAGCTTGGCCTCTCCTTGATGCAGGTGAAAACGTACCACCTCCCTCCTGTCCCCATCTCCCCAGAACAATAGAGGGGAATAAGGAAGATTCTAGATGCTTTGCCTCCCCTATCTGTCTCCCAGCACCGCCAGGCACTTCAGGGTCTGCGGCCTGGCCTCCTGTCGCACAGCCCAGCAACGACCAAACCCAGACAGGCGCTCCACCCCTCAGGCACAACCTCCAACTGCCTTCTGAGGGGAAGTTTCTGGAAGCAACCCTGCTGGGTATTAGGAGTGCAGGACAGAAGCACAGAAGCCAGTGCAGGGGTGGTCATACCTGTGCAGGGAAACTCTCCCCAGTCTCTCCGTCCACTAGCAGGTCTTGGGCCAGAGCATCGGTGCCCGTGCCCGCCCAGTTGTCCTCCTGCTCGCCTCTTCCATCTCGAAGCTCCTTATCCACATCCTGCTCCTTCTGCCGATGGCTGTAGTCAAAAACCTCACGCCCAGCCCCCAGATCAATATCCTGCCGCCAAAGGATGTCAATCAGATCTATGTCCTGAAAGACAGACCATAACTTTACCATTCCATCCAGGGCCCCTCCTTGTCCTGCCTTCAAGGTCCTCCCTGGTGCCACCTGGCTCTTCCGGGGTGGGCCCCTCCCAGCCCCACACCTGCTGGCCTCGCCCCTCCCTGCTCCTCCACCCACAGGCTCATTCATTCAGTTCTAGCCACTACCCTACCCCCAACAGAGGCACACACAGGTCTTTGGCTTAGGTTTGGACCAGACACACCCAGGGCCCAAGAGATGCTGAAGGTCTGGGGCAAGGGAGACCCCAAAACATGGTCTGGAGAAGGCTGGCACGGCAGCACGCAAGGGCAAGCTGTCATGCCAAGTTGCCTGGCAGTGGCCAGGCTTGCATCAGCCTGTGGTGCCACTGCATTTGCATAAAGGGGTGGGGTGGCCCTGGGAGGAAAATCCCTGCATTTCCAACCACCTGATGCAACCAATGACAGCTGAGGGCCCCATGGCCTCCTCCAGCCAGCCCCTCCCGGCTTGCGCTAGAGCGAGGCGCACCCACAGCTCCGGCCGCCCGCCCAGCTCACCTCGGGATCCATCCCTGCCAGGGTGCCCATCCCGGTTGAGCTCAGCAAGCCTCCTCGATCCCCGGGAGCATCCAGCAGTCAGGTGATCCCACGGGGCACCCCACCCTGTGTGGCCGGCCCGCTGTCCCTCACAGCAGCTCACTCGCCACACCCAGGACTCCAACTCCCCGGCAGGCGACCCACTCAAGGACATCACCCCCAGCAACATCACCCCCAGCGCTGCTTGCCACTTGGGGCACCAAAACACCTCCCTCTACTCTGCCCCGCAGCTCTGAGCACTTCCTGCACCAACTGCCACTGGCATGGAACCCCAATACAGAGCCACAGGCCTCCTCTTGGAGCCACTCCCTGCGGCAGTGTCCTCAGGAGGCCGAAGAATCGAGGGCCGCCCTCAGAGAGCAAGCTCCCTGGTCCTGCCCTTGTGTCCACCCAGCCCCCCGCCTGGGCATCACTCCTGCACTCCCCCCATCCACCAACCTGCACAGGGGCCCTGGGCCCAGGAACAGAGGGGGGCTGGGCGGCCCGCTGAGCGGCCAGCAAACAGTTAAGGGGCCGGCTGCCCTTAGCCTGGCCCCCACCACCGTGCGAGCTGCGGTCCAGGAGGGTCATGGTCTGTGAGAGGAGCCCAAGGGCGGCCGGCGCCGGGAAGCCAGACAGGGGGCTGCAAGGAGCTGTTGGCTCACAGGGTGCACACCAAACTGGAAAGGTGGCCCCTTGCTGGCTCCGAGGGGCCCGAGCAGGGTGCCCCGCCCGTGCTGCTGCCTGGGCGGCCCAGCCCAGCCCCCTTCCTCCATCCTGGAACAGCCCCCTCCCACCTCACAACCCCAGTTCCACTCAGGCGCCCGGCAGCCCCCACCCGGAGCTCACCGCAGAGGCTGCAGTGAGCCGGGACTCCCACCCCATGCTCCGTGCTCACGCTGCAGAGGGCGAGCTCCCTCATGGGCCTATCCTCCCGCTCCTCCCTCCTCCCCCTCCCCATGCCCCCCAAACTTGTTACCTAGGCTGCAGCAAGGAGCCAATCCCCTCCCCCTCCCACCCCGCAGGTCACTGCTGAGGCTGCAGAGAGCCAATCCCCTCCCCCAGGTCAGCAGCTGGGCTGCGGAAAGAGCCAATCCCCTCCCACTGTCGTTACCTAGGCTGCGCCGGCAGCCAATCTCCTCCCACAAGTCTCCGCTGGAGATGCGGAAGGAGCCAATCCCCTCCCACCGCCTGTTACCTAGCTGCAGACGGCAGCCAATCTCTGCGCCAGGGCAGCTGGAGAAGCTGCCGCAAGGAGCCAGCCCATCCCCAGGCCGCCTCCGTCTCCTTGAGGAGATGCACCCAGGGGCGGGCGGCCCCACCCAGCCTTCAGTCAGCAGGGTGGTGGCGCAGTGAGAGTGCCCTGGGGGAAGGGGCAACACTCTCCTCCGGTCGCAGCTCGATCTTCCAGCCCGTTCCGGCCCCCAAGCCACTCCTCCCCCAGCTCCGCCAGGAACCTCCGTCTTCTGCTGGGAAGTGGAAGTTTTCCCGCCCCGGGAAGGCTGTGGCCAGCCCTCACGGCCGGGGATCACAAGCCATGGGCAGGAACCCAAGACAAAAAACCAGGACCTTTGTCACCCTCAAACAGGCCAGACTAGAAGAGGAGAAGAGCATCTGCACATGTGTAGTTCTGTCACCCCAGGAGGGCACAGCCTGAAGCTGGCAAGCGCCCAGGAAACAGGTGCTGGCCACCATCCTGGCCACCAACGTACCACCCGCTTCGAAACCCTGAACTGGACTGGATCCTGGGGGGTTGGCTCCCTGGAGCTAAGGTCAGCTCAGAGCCTGCGTGCTCCCCTGCCACAGCCTGCTCTTAGCCTGAGAAGAACTGTCAACAGGCCACCCCCTGTTCTGGGCACAGCGCCAGCCGCCAGGGGAATCCTACCCCTGAACAGGGCCTAGGCCACGGCTGCCCATCGAACAGCCTGGCAGCAGGAGCATACTGCCACCCCAGGGATAATACGGCTCCATGCTGCTGTGTCACATGCTCTGGACCTGGGTATTTTTATCCTGAGTGACTGAGGAAATGTTCTGGACACATCACAGCTTCCCTTCCCCCCCCCCACCCCAGCCTGGGCCCTCCATGTGAACCCACTGTCTGTCTCCCCAAGGCAGAGCTGAGGGCCTGAGCTCAGAGAAAGTGTGATCTTCATGAGGGCGGGCATGGAGGGAAACAAGGTCAAGGTGCCACCCCATCTTGCCTGCTCAGCCCCACCCATGACTCCTGTCTGTCCCACCACAGGGCAGGCTTCACAGGGCTATCGGAACAAGCCTCTTCCTGTCCCTGGGTACAGTACGCTTCTCTGGACACTAGGCCAGACTATAACTCACTTAAAGGGCAGGAAAGAGAAAAGAAGGAGGTCCCAGCACCATGACAAGGGCCTAGGACAAGAGGCCCAAAAACAAGAAGTGCTCCTGGACTCCAGTCTCTCTCAGCAGGTCCACTGAAGTCAGCAAAGCTGGCTTCAGCCCTAGCGCTGCTGATAAACAGAGCTCAGAGAGAGCCCCTGTGCTTTGGGGCAACTCTGTTATTTTGTCCTGTGTAGGGGGCTCACCAACACCCTTGGTCTCTCTGCACCCACTAGATGCTAGTACCACCCCCAGCTATGACAACCAAGTCTCCAGATAGCGTCAGCTGCCCCCTGAGTAAGGACCACAGGCTCAGACAAGCCATACTCTTCACCAGTTGCTAACTCTGAGAGCTGAGGGTGGGAGCAGGGCCGAAACAGGCAGGTAAAACTGGGTCTGCCCATGGGGGGGACCATCTCCAACTCCCCCCGCCACTCAGCCAGCCCAGGACACACAATCTGCCCTCCTGAGCCGGCAGGTCGCAGTGGGCCTTCAGGCCTAGAAGGTGGTCACACTGGCTTTCGTCGTGTCAAGGCAGGGGCAGCACTAGCTGCCTGCATCCTTCAAGACAGGGAAATGCATCCCTTTCTGCCACAAGACAGCACTGAGATCGGCCCGGTGGCTCACAGGGCGCTCACTCGGGCTGGGCAGCATCACAGTCTCTCTTCTATCTTCCAGCCTCCTATGCCTGCCGCCCTGCTGCGCGCCTTCAGTAGGAACAGGAGCCCTGCCCTCTCCTAGCCAAGAGTCACCATCCAAGCCTGCGTGCTGGCTCGGGCCCAGGACAGCTGAGCTCTCTGGGCCTCTCAGCAACAGGACTGACCACAAAGGAGAATTTAGGGTGCACACACGTGTTCCAATGTGGGGGTAGGTGCAAGGCAAGAGGACAGCATTTGTGTCCTAGCAACAGCTACACAAGGCACTACAGCCATCACATGACCCCCCCAGCACAGGCCTCCAGTAGCCCTGCTGCAATCCAAGCAGTAAACAGCACTGAGGCAGAGGGAGCCCTCCACTGCCACACAGCACACTCTACAGTGGTCTGGGTGCAGCACAGGGAAACACCGTCCATCTAACGCATAAGCCAAACAACTGGGTCCTCCTGCCCAGCACAGCGCCTGAGCCTCACCCCTGAGCCTATCTAGGGCTGAGGCCTACACGCCCACTTCTCCATCCCCAGGCCCTGCCAGCCCCTCTCTATGGGGCCACTTACCTCTTTGGTTAAGTCTCCGCTGACTGGAGGGGCTACAGCCCCCAAGTCCTCCAGATCATCACCAAAGCCCTGCTCCGTCTCACTTTCTCGCACCCCGCTGTCTGGGCCCGTCACATCCTGGAGGCCACTGGAACTCTCAAGGGCCAGGCCTGAGCTGGGCTGACTGCCAGACACAGACCCCTCAGGGTCACGGTGAACCAGCCAAGCATTCACCTCAGTGGTGGGCACCTGGAACCTGTCCAGGGCCCTCACCTGACTGAGGAGCCGCCGGGCAGTGAAGTAATTGTCCAGATCTACACTCTTGGGGTGGATCCCATAGCCATCCAAAGTGTTTCGCAGGTTGTGGAACTGTGTCTGTGTGTAGGCAGAGCTGGGCCCCAGGATGATCTCTCGAAGTGGGGGCAGCTGTGAGGTCAAGTAAGTATCCACGTCCACCCGCACCCCAACCAGACTCAGCAGGATGGTAAACTGGAGCAGTCCTTCCGTTAAGTATTTCTTCAGAGAAAGCATTGCTGAAGGACCAGAACGTTTATGTTTACTGGGTCTTAAATCTTCCGAAGACAAATCAAGGCCGTTGCTCTGCTGCTCCAACCAGCAGGTTACCCCTCAATGCTAACCCTTCACCCCTCCCTGGCACGACACAGGAGCTGACCGTGGCTATCGCCCCACAGGAACGCACACCCAGTGGAACAGGCGCTCCAGGCCACATTCACTCTTCCCTTCTGGCTCCGCACCTCAGAGAGCACGCCTCACCCAGTCCAGGCCCTCTGGCCCTTGCCACTCACTGTCTCCTCAGTCCACATACAGCTTCCGCAGGAGGCTTGTTCACAGCAACAGCTGATAGACTCCTTTTCCTTCTCCCTCTAGGTTTGTTGTCTTTGGCTGGAGCTGCAGGCCTTTTGTCTTGCTTGGGTCACAGTGTCCCGCCTCCTCCACACTTACCAGGGGGGTTTCCAGCAGAACCTGAAATAGGAGTCACAAGAGCAGGCAGATGAGATTCCATACTCCTCACGCAGTGATGGGGTGGGAGAACCTCAGGGAAAAAGGGAGGAAACTTTTACTCAGAAAGAAACAGCCACTTGCACTCTCACAAAACAACAGCCCATTGCAGACAGAACAAAAGGTACTGACATATGCTGGGCATGGTGATGCAAGTCTATAATCCCAGCACTCAGAGGCTGAGGCAGGAGGATTGTTGAGAGTTCGACCAGCGTGGGGGCGACAAAGCAAACAAAGCCAACCTAAACTGCATAGCAAGACCCTGTCTGAGAAAGACAAAAAAAAAAAAAAAGTATTGACACACAAAGGTATTGAAAATGAGGATATTAAATCTACAATACTCCTAAAAGTAGTTTGCTTTGGCTAAACAGCCAATGCCCAAGTCTCTTGCACTTTGTCCGATTTACAAACCCTCCTCTCCCTAACCAGGCACTTTACCCAGCTCCTATTTTTAGCGTGAGAAGCCCATTTCCAATCTTAAAGCTGTTTTCTAAGTCTCAGGAGAAAATCACCTCCAATCACTCCATTCCAGAAGAGGAAGGAGAGGAGGTCAATGTTTGGGACAATGTTCTGGCCACCGCTCCACACAAAGTAATAATGCCTGTGATTTTCTCAACTTGGAAATCTTATTTTCTTTCCTCACAGTTCTCACAATTAAAAAAAAAAAAAAGTAGACCTGGTAAGTGCAAGGTCCTGAGTTCGATCCCCGGTACCAAGAAAAAAAAAAAAAAGTAGGGCCTCTCCCAGGGCTGTATCTCCAACAGTTTGCATAGCACGTTTTATCTCCACTCCTTTGACCTTCTAAGTCAAACCTGAGGATATGGCCAAGCTCTCAACCCAGCTGCCAAGTGGGGAGAGAGGAAATTTGCCTTTCGGTTTCTGGTCTCTGTCTCTGAGCTTTTATTAACCTCATAAACAAAGATTGCTACCTTTTGTCTACTGTGACCCGTCTAGCCAACTTCATTTTGAAAAGGGAGAAGGACCCTAAGCAGACGCGCGCGCAAGCCGCATCGGGCTGGAGTAAACACAACTGGAGCCCTCAACCCCAGCTCGCGCCGCCTCCACTCCTGCCTCCACTCGCTACTAAAACCTCCCATGAGCCAACTAAATTCAAGAAACCCTGCAAAGTTCCTGTGAGCCCGCGCCCGCGGCCACCCCGCCGTGGCCGCCCCTCCCAGTACCCGAGTCCGGCGGGGCCCGCGTCGCCATGCCCACGGTCGGCGGCGCGACGTCCAGCTGCGGGACAGCCGCGGAGCCGGGAATGAGCGCACGCGGGCCC